AAAATCGATTAATTGCGAAGCCACTCGAAATAGGGCATATAAATTTATTTGTTGAAATTTTACAAGAGAAATGCAGTATCCGCTCTTGAAAGCTTTGCTCGCCCGATTTTAGAACAGCAATAGAATTATATCAGATAAAACGTTAATAAATTCGCAATTTTTTGATTGTTTATTTCCTTTTAAATAAAAAACAACCAAATTGTGCCTATTTGGGTAAATTGTTCTTATCTCATTATCTTTTGCGTAGATTCTTAAAATATGTATGCTTTCGGAGACCTTTAATTTATTTGTGAGAGAACTAATGCTAATAAACACTTTACAAATATACACATGTCGGACTGATATTTATCAAAAAAAAAAAACACCTCTTAAAAAAATACACATTTTAAATGAGAAATGCCTAAAAATACCTAGATATAGCGGTCCGAAGGGAAATATTGAAAAAGTTTATTTATTTAGTTAAATTGATATAAAAAGCGTTGGTTTTCATCGTTTTATTTCAAAAAATACATTATTACAATTTTATAAAAGATTTGTGAAGGTTGAAGCATATACCGAATCACAGTATGGAGCAAGCCTGGCTGTTATACACCATTTGTACAAAAAATTCGAAAAGTTTAATTTTCTAACATATTTAATTAAATGCATTGGTTCTCAGTTCACATTAATTCATTCTGCTCTATTTTGGATGAGACTATTAATAAACGCGTAAGGTCCATTGAGACGTTCACAATAGTAAAAAATTCAAAATAGTAAGAAACAGTATTAAGTATAATTTTGTAATTGCAACTCCATTTTTAGAATAAAATGTCACTTTTTTTGGAAAATGGACTTCTATATCATATAGCTGCCATAGTGATTAGGTCAAGTGAACATATTATCGTGGTTTTTTTTGGATAGTTTCATATGGCTGGATATGGGTTTATTTTTTACCACCATTTAGCTTAAAATTTTATCAAAAAAGGTCAGTTATATCGTATAGCTGTCATAGGAACGATCGGGTCAAAATTGATTCAAACTTATTATTTAAGATTTCTAGTTTTATTAAAATGCTTTAACTATTCTAAAGTAAGCAATTTATTAACCAAAATAAAACAAATCGAATATTTGTATGTTTTTTATTCACCATACTCATCTTCATCACAACTGCCGGAACAGTCGAATTATATTTCTTGCCTCTCAGCCTTAGGAATATTTTTTTTACAAAGGCAACGCTGATTTCGGCATTTGACGAGTTTTTTGTTGAGCTTACTCGACTAGTCTTTTTAAAAAAGTTTTCGCGGAAATGCTTGAAATTCTTAAATCTGAAGTGCCTTGGGCTTCATTTTTCATAGTGATAACTACAAATTAATTAGAAGCTTAAAGCACAAACAATTTCCGCAAAGAAACAGCTGATCTTTAGCCATAGGTAAAAATTTAAAATGCGCGCAAACGAACCAGGTCTGAACTGCTAATTCTTTTAGGGAATTGTGTTTAATGTATCACACTTATTTTTTTTAATGCCGGACCTGACCCGAAACACTACTTTATGTCCAACAACAAAAAAGAAAGCAAACTTCGGCAAGCCGAAGTTCATATACCCTTGCAGCTATTGCAAGAATTACAAATTTTTGAAAACATTAAAATTATGATTTACTTGCGTATATGTTTAAAAACATTGAAGCTATAATGATTTGCAGCTCAATTATTTGATAGTTAGTTTATATATATTTTTATTATTTCTATGGGAGCTATATGATTTAGTCGTCCGATTTTGATGAAAATCTAAACCGTAATTTTGAAATAATTAACCATTACTATATGTCGAAAAACTGAAAAAAAAATGAAAAAGAGCAAAGTTATACATTTTTTTCTTATTTATTTTTCCGATTTTTCCAATGGGAGCTATATGCTATAGTCGTCCGATCCGGCTCGTTCCGACTTATATAGAATGGAAAGACAACTTTTGGCAACGTTTCATGCAGATAGCTTTAAAACTGAGAGACTAGTTTGCGTAGAAACGAACGGACAGACGGACATGGCTAGATCGACTCTGCTAGTGATGCTCATCAAGAATATATATAATAACGTTTATTATTCTAATAGTAATGGTTAAATATTCCACAATTACGGTTTAAATTTCATAAAAATGGGCCGACTATGCCGACTAAGCTCCCATGGGAACAATAAAAATATTAAAAAAAATTTTTTTTTTTCCTTTTTCCTTTTATTTTGTAATTTTTTTTAATTCTTTTTGACTTATTAATAATTTGACAGTTCAGAACTCCGCTTTTAATTTAATAAAAATCGGAAAACGATATCATATAGCTGCCATAGGAACTATCGAACAATTGAACTGCAAATCATCATAGCTTCAATGTTTTTAAAAATATACGCAAGTAAATCATAATATTAATGTTTTAAGAATAATTAGTTTTTGCAATAGCTGCAAGGGTATATGAAATTCGGCTTGCCGAAGTTTGCTTCCCTTCTTGTTTTTTTTTAGTTTTTGCTTTGCATTGCATTATCAAAAGTTTAAAAAACAATTATTTATGTTTTAAATAATTATAATGTATTATGATGACGTCATTACGGCCCTTCAATGTATGCATTATTGTATTATTATTATTATTGTTCTCGTATTAGAAGATATAAGGGATGCAGCATACTTTTGGGCTGCAGCAGCCTCTTCTTCAAATTAAGTTAATATGGTGACTTTTTAAATTTCGCGGGCAACATTTTCAATTATCGATTTTTTTATGTTGGTACACTCTTCCCTAACATCTGTACCAAGTTTCAAGTGAATCCCCTTTTGTTGCCCGCGAAATTTGAAAAGTCACCTTTCTTTTTGAACACACCTTGTGTTTAAAACCGACAATCTCGAAAACTTAAGCCAAACCGAGCGAAATCGGCAGTTAATTTTGGTAGATAATTGATCAAATAACTTATTTTTAAAGGAATCACTTCATTTTCGGAGGGTATCGAGAGTAAAGCAAAGCAATAGCAAAAATAATATAACACAAAATACAATGCAAAGTATTCCATTACGAAAAAAAGCATGATTTTTTTTAAGTTTTTGTCGATATTTTGTAACTAAGTAAGAAAACCAGCTAAACTACAATTTTTACTTGTCATTTTAATCAATTTCAATGACTTCACAAGAAATTCGATCAGATTCATCTTTTTTCACTAAATTTTGTTTATTCTTTATTCGATTCTTGGATGAAATTAAATCTTTAAAAATATGCCAAAAAAATTCATTCAGAAAAATTCCTTGAAATTTTGGCAACGGACTTTTTGCCAAACGCATCTCAGAAACTAATAATTATATAATCGTACTTGATTTTCTAAAATTCTAATTACGGCAAACAACTGATCAAAAGGTTTAAGAGATTAGTATCTTATTACAATTAAATAAGATTATATTTAGAATAACGCACTTGCAATATAGTATTAAATTATAGAAATAACTAATTTACATCATATATTTTGTATTTCATTCTTTTACAAATGAACTTTTTTAATAAAAAATTATTTCAAAAAGGCAAAGTGAATTTTAGTTATTCTGACTTAAATTTGCTTGGAAAATTTGGGAGTTTTAGCACCTACAGTCAAAGCTTAAGATCCACAAAGCTGTTGCTAAGTTGGGGAAAACAAAATTGCAGCTCGAAAGAGTGGAGGTCGTAGGCTTACTTTAATAGTTAACGAAGTAATGAGCAAAAGCTAGGAAGACAGAGTTATAAAGCTCAATTGAAGGTTCACTGAGAAAAATATTGAGATTTCTATATGTCTTGTATAAAATAACTTAATTACAATAATATAAATTTAGTCTTTTGAAAAGGTATTTGTACCAACATGGCCTCTTACAGCTCCAAAAGGCAGTCAAATTCTATGTATATATTAGATTAGGTCGATTTGTATGGAAGTGATAAATTGCTTAGACAATCCTAAAAAAACAATAGCAAATAGCAAAGGAACTAATACACACTTTGTCTTTTGAAAAACTAGGGATGGATTGATTCATCGAAAAACTACAAAAAGTGCCAAGTAGTAGAACGTAAGCTAAAAAAAATGTATATATTTCCTTGGCACATTCGGAGGGTTAAACATGCTTTTAAACACTTAAGTATTACTTCTGCGATTTTTGGGTACCCAAATCGACCCATCCTAATATGTAAAAACTTATATTAATGCTATTTGTTTTTTTAAAGGACAACATTAAACTTAAAAGATAATGATAATTCTGTAGAAATTCAAAAGAGAATAAAAGCAACGAAAACTATGGAATCATGCCCAAAGCATTCGAAAACCATGACTAAACAATTTTAAAATTGAATTGAAGTCCACTTTGATTTGTTTAGGCTTTGCACAGCTTATGAACTCGTCCGCCATATTCTGGGCGTACTAACTTATAAAAAAAATTTTTCTCTTTTTTCAGTTTTTGTAGTACAGGTACCTTGTTCGGATTTAATTTATTTTCGTTTGCGTCCTTAGCTACAACTAACATTTTCTTTTTCCAAAGAAGTTTAGTATAGTTAATGCGTAACATTTAATTTGGTGTTTTGATTTTGGCCAACTTAGCACCGATTTTGTTCTCTGCACACAACAGGTTTGGCCAAAAGCTGCTCTCCAAAGCCCACTTTGGAGGCCCTCTACCGCCGATTGAGCGGGTTTCGTCGTGCATCGCTGAGCGGAGGCTTAAAGCCAAACCGAGTTTAAGTCGCGTTGGCACGAGAAAGAGGGAGACAGCCCTGCTTGATTTTGGTGGCCAAAATCACCAGCTGCCAGGTCGGGCTGGCAAGCTGTAGCTGGGCCCTCATCTCTGCCGAGCCAGAGAGTCAGACAGTCAGCTGGTAGGTGGTAGGTGGTATGTGGTGTGTGGTGTGTGGTGTGTGTGTGTGGAGACAACGTACTGACAAAGGCCCAGACTCAGCCTTAACTTGGCTGGAAAGCTGTGGGACGAGAAGGCCGAATCGAGTCTGGAGCCAGCGATTTGCGAGCATGAAAATCCGTCGTCAGTCGGCAGTCGTCAGTCGCCAGCGAGTAGTCCACTAGAGCGCGTTCGGGCACGGACAAGTGTTAGAGACAAGTCTGGTCTCAGATCACACAAATCGGCATTTACTTACTACCAAAACCACTAGGCGACGGAACGCGTCTCAACGAAAAAGTATATATGTTTTTTGTTTTGCTCAATATTTTTTTTTTAGTTTGTATGCAATGAATTTGGCGAAATACGTTTGCAAATGCTTTTGCTCTCTGCGTGGCTAAACTAAGTGGCCCTAGCTTGCAAACAAAAGCCGTAATGGCTCGCCAAACAACTTTTGTGAATTCTCTAGTGAAACAATATCGTCTGTGACCAACATTTTTTTGAGTGCTTTTATCGTTTGAATCCGATGCTTATGCACATCGTATGTTCAGTTTTGTAAAACTAGGATTACTTTTAACGCCCTTCTTTGCCCTTTTTACTCTGTGAACTAAGCTGGTAAGCATGCAAAGCAACTGAAGAAATCCAGAAATGAGTTCGGATTATATTGGCAACTTATTGCCATAACTGCAATTTTGTTTGCTATACTATTTGCTGACCGCGAACCTCGAGAACTCTCAAGGAATCCTGTATATGTTTAATATTTAAAGCGTCACCCCAATAAATGCAACTGTGCTAATACGAAACAAACATACTACACAGCAACTTAGGTGTGTGATGCATCTAAATGCACATGTAGCAATGTCATTGGTGTGACACCTTTAAGTTTTCTGGGTATTTGATATAAGCGACGCCATATAGCGTCGCCATCGCATCGCTTCTCGGAACTAGCATTACTAAGCAAATCAGATTGGAATCTTAATTGCAAGCAGGTAAAAGCTGAGAGGGCTAGACAAGTCAAGTGGACGGCGGCGCCCTGTTTCCGATCGCAGGGCATCCACAAAAGAACCGATCTTTGGCTTTCACCAGAAAATGTACAGTAATCCGCTGACGGAATAAATGGCTTTTGATTCTGATCTGAGAAAGTTCTATTCAATTCCATTGGAGCGTGTGCGGAAGTCTGGCGTTCTCATCGCCTTGATGATTTCATTCAATTCCATTGTTGACTTCATCGTGACGTTGGCCTTTTGTAGATGGATGCTGCACTTCAATTAGCTGTTCGCCCAATACAAAATTAATTACTTTGAAGGGCTTAAGAAGCCCCAAATCAGGACTCAATCGTTTGCCTTTGTCGATGGCTTGGCTTATTTTCTTTTTCGAATTTGGACAAACACTTGTATTCTTGATTACCAGCTTATTTTTGAGGTAAAATACCAATACATCTTATAACGCCAAAAAAAAATCGTCTGTCCCTGCCCCAAAACCAATATAATTTGGTGTTTTTAGTGTGTGTGTTATAAATACAAACTGTACCGTAACACACTTAACACAGTCAAACTTCCATAGTTCGAACAACTTCCGAAATCTGCCAATAAATAAAATCGGAGTTAAAGAATATACTTTGCATTGTCTTGAAGATTCTTCGAGCTAGGAAAGTTTGAGCTATGGACACTAAACTGTCTTGTATACTATGGATTAATTAAATCCCTGCAATTAGTATAATGGAGTTTGGCAAATGCTCTCGCTGAGGTCAACCCTATAGAAGCCAGAATCAAGCTACAATCAAGTGACCTCCGAGTCTTGATGGTACATGGGTACACGGGTTCGTATGTACGTAGGTACGTAGGTATTCACGGTAAGTGCGTGGGTATCGCACAGTTGGAATGCTGTCGCAACGCCGCCGCCATAGAAGCTGAGCTGAGCTGTTGTTTTCCAGAGCTTGAGCACTGGCTCTGGCCTCCGACGCTTACGCATGCCGACGAGACAAACTCGCTCCAGGAGCGAAAGAGATAGAGGTTGTGGGGCAGAAGGAGAGAGGGAGACAGCTTTAGAGGCGCACGGCGCATGCGCAGCCCGAGTTTGCGATACATACCGGACGTACACGCAGAAAAATAAGTGAGAGCATTGATATAATCAGCTTTAAATTCAAAAGCTTAAGGGACTGTACCAGGGTAACCCATGAAAAATGGGGCGATTATTTGGAATTATTTTATAGAAAGTACTCGACAGAATAATAGAGATTTAGATAATATGTATATATTATATTTCAAGATATTTTGCTTACAAAAATCTTTAAAAACAACGAAGGCTTGTGGTGTCTTTGTGGTGATGCCGAAAAAATACCCCGAATTCAAACCGGATTCCGTTCGAATGAGATCTCTGAAAAATATCAAAAATCAAGGAAATTACGTTATATAGCAAATATATTAGAGAATACTCAGTTTAATTTTGATGAGAATTGGTGAATTTATAGTTGAGTTATGTCGCTTTTAAAGGATGTTATTCGATTTATGTTATATATCATACTTATGTTATATATCATACTTATCATACTTTAAGGATGAAAACTAAAACTTAAGTTTCCCTCCATTTGTAATTTAACGAATAACTGTTTAACCAGATGTAAAAACTATTTAGGCTTATTGCTGTAATCTATTACAAACTGCATTTGGGCTTAAGTAAATTTTTAACTTTTAACTTATTTTTATTAAATTGCAAATTGCCCTAGTCTCGCCGACATTTTGTTTGCTGAGAACATAAAGATTTAATGCTTTTAATTATGTTACTTTGATAAAATTAAATTGAAATAGGAATGCTTTGACACTCATAAAACTACTTATTTAGGAAAAAGTTAATGAAGGCAACAAATCCTGATTTAAGGCAACTCAACGATTGATTTAAAAGAGAACTAACATTTTACATACAATTTTTAAAAAAAAAATTGTTACGCCCATGTATTGGTTGTGTCTAACTCTATTTTTGGATGTTCATTAAAAACATTTGTATACTAAAACCTTCACTTAAGTCTAAGCAACAACTTAATTTATTTTAATTTTTCGCATGTCTGTATCATTCTGATATTTTTCTTGATGGTTCCTCTCTTTGGAAATAAAGTATTTTATACAGCCTACTTAAATGTAAAAAAAAATAGATGTATTACTTAATATTGTCGATACTACTCGAGAGTAATGTAGCATTTGGCCAAAAAAATAAACGTTGTAACGTATTTTTTATAGACCCTTGTTGCTTAATCAGAGAACTTACTTGATTTGGATTTTATTTGTCGTTTTAAATATGAATACCTAAAATTTGTGTACGTATACGTTTATAAATGTACATAACTGTATATATAGCTTGTGTATATACTTGATTACTCAATCGGACTTCCATCAACTGCACTAAGAAATAAAAAAATATATGTTTAATTAATTAAAGCTGATTCCTTGAAGTCCGCCTCCTATTATTACAAACCAAAACTCTAACATGATAGCTTGAACATTTACATATATGTCAAAAGTAGGGGTGAGCTTTGTATATATATTCATATATATATATATATATATATATATATATGAATATATGTGAGTAAGTTGGGAATGCTTTTGATATTGTTTACCATTTGGTCATAAGTTTGTAAAACTTTATACACCGTTAGAAAGCTTAATATCTCACTTGAATGGAAGCGCAAAATAAATTAACATTTTTCTGACCGTCACATACCAACATTTAAATTTTAACGTATGTTTTGTTAAATTTTGAAAAATGTTAAAGAAATGGTATATTGATACATTGAAAAAAGTTTGTGATTAAAGCTTTTACGCCAAAAAGGAATGCGTTAACAAACATATAAACAAAATTCTTTACTGGAATATTAAGATATGACACAATCTTTTATGTCCTCTGCGGATGTCGCAAATAAAGAGGAAATGCTTTCATGGTTGCGTTACAAACTTCGGGCTTTACGATCGAGGGTAAACAAATAGCCATATTTTCTTCCCGTGCATTCGTATTTCTACTGCTACCCATACCTGAGCAACTCTCAGTCGTCGCGTAATCATTAAACCATAGCTTGGATCTGGAGGGGGGAAGGGGTGCGGAGGGGAGGGAGGGGGCGGATTTGTGGAGTAAGTTGGAGCGACGAGGGGCGGAATAAAACACAGAGCGAGCAACAAGTCAAAATACCAGTTTTTTCCGAGCTGAGCGACAAAGCGAACCTATCTATAGATACCATACCCATACCCATACCCATACCCATACCCTCTTGTGTGCGAGTGTGCAAGTGTGCGAGTGTGCCTGTGAGGCTGCACACAAAAGATACTCACCTACCTGTGTGTATGCATGGCTACTTTATGAGGAAAGGTGTGCTTATGTACATCGATCACGGCTTTTACATGAGAAAGAACGCTGGTGCAATTAATTTTGAGCATTTTCGCGACTTCAGACACTCCAATTTTCAAAATAATGTTATGTTGTTAGGTTTTAATTTTTTATAGAAATGTACTTATGCATGTTTATCTCTTCTTGAGTTTTCGTTAGTAAATGTACTTATTTCTTACTGTAAGCACATACCTTTAATTATTTTTCTTATTTGTTAAAGCAAATCATAAATACAAGCAATTATTTTCTTAAAAAAAGGCAGTAAAAATGCACTTTTTAACAATCAACAACAGCAAGAATAAATAAATAAACGCAAGACAGAAATTATTCATTGCGTTTTTAATACTTGAGTCAGCAGCTGCCCTAAGCAAAGTCAGATCATAGGGTTCTGGAATTTGTATTGGCTTATAAATCGTTTTAGTGCTGCCAGCTTAAGATTTGAATATGTGATTAAAGAGATAGCTTTGAAAGCGGTATTGAAGAACAATAAAATTTAAAGTTCAGAGTTGGGAATTCTGTCGTACTTTTGCAAGATCCGACTGAGATCAGCAGTAATAGAGCGGCTTTCCGGCAAAACCGAAACAAGTTCCCTCGGTCCGTGACTCATTCGGGTGATAACGTTAGCGTTGGGCTGGTCTATTGAATCGTGACAACAACCTTGACAAGTACATATTTCCCCGGCGGCATTGGCTGCTCACTCGAGCAGCTGCAACAGGATTCGGTTCGGATTGGCCCAGGTGCACCAGAAGGTTGACTTGCCAGGGCAGTGGCCAAAAGGCGCTCCTACGTGCCACAGCTCGTTCCCTACATCTGTATCTGTATCTGAAGCTGAAGCTGAAGCTGTATCTGTATCTGTGCCAATGCCCATCTGAATCCGAATTCGAATCCGAATCCGAATCTGTGCGCTGGTCGCGTTGGCTGGCTGACTGAAAACCCGTTCTTGCAAAAAATGGTAAGCTCGTACCGAGTAGATTTTAGCCAGTGCTGGTTTTGCCTGGCTTTTGCTATACTTGAGCCGTCGTCTTGGAGCGCCTCGAACTGGCTTTTGGCCTGGCTTTGTCGCAATGCAGTCGGGAGATCCGCCTCAAGGCGAGTGCCCGACAAATATGGCCAAATTGTCGTAGGTGTCTGGCTATATTGGTCTGCTAGCCTCTACTTGTGGATCGGGTCTGTTGTTGGCCATATTGCGTGTACCACAACGCCTTTATGCAATAAGTGTAAGTGGATTGGATGCATACTCATACGAAGCTTACAGATTATTTTGTATTTCTACTAAAATAAGTTATAGTTAATCCAGCCCTCGAGACATGAAATTACGCTTATGACTTTTCCATAGGCGGAGTGTCCAAATCAGTTTGCTTGCTGGCCAGTGTAGTTTGGGTCTAATGGCCGTCTCGGCTCTCGTCAAGTCTCGGTTGGGTGACCCATCAATCTTGGCATTGAACATCTGTTCATCAGTCGAGGCCCAAGCTTGTCTATCATAGCCATATTAAAAGCGGCAAAAAAGATACATTAGAACACAAACCCCAGCGAAACCCGCTTGAGAAATAGGTTCTGCCAAAAGTTGAGCCCAGCTCCCCATGAATCACGTATGTATCTTTGTATATCTGTGACTCGTTGTTAAGCCGCAGATATTTGGGGCGAAGGTCGTTGACAGAAGGCCGCCCGCCAAGCTCAAAAGGTGAGGTGGAGGAGGAGTCGGTTCAGTAGAAGACAGGTCACTTTTGGGTGAACTTTTGGGTGCAAACGTCTTCATGAGAGTCTGCAGTCCCTGATTAAGGAATTAATTAATTTAGTTCCTTTTTCACTCACATTTATTTCAGTAATTTAAGTAAAAGAGAAACCATACGAAATTATAATACCCTCTGCAAAAAAACAATCATTAAAAAAGTGAGTTTTATAACCCATCCGCCATGTTGGCTATGTGGGCGGAATACTGGCGTTGTCCATTCGGAATATTACACAAAACATTTAATTTTGTACTGCCTTTGGGTAGAAGTGATGCAGTTTTAGCAGTTATTTGGTACTCTGTAATGCATTGAGTAGGTATAAGCCAACTTCGGCGTTCTATAAATGTGCATTGTCAGTGCATAAATACAGTGCATGCATTTCCCAATGATTCTATTTTTTTCCATTTTTTCTTTGCCGTGGAGATTCAAAGCACTAATTGTACGTATTTTCCTGCAGCCCGAAACCAATTTTGCTGTTTTTCTGGCTTTGGAGCGCCCATCGAGGAACCAGCGATCAAAATGAACTGGGACCAGGGGCCATTTTGGGCCAGTGGAAGACGGCGCTTCCTGCTGGCCGCTCTGCTGCTGCTCTTCCTCGGCGGACAGACCGCGGCCCAGTCCAATTACGTGCAGCACGGCGATAGCGGAAACTACACCACCAACGGACTGCCCGAGGAGGCGACCCTGGACGGCAAGGTAAGCACTTGAGACGCACTTAGTGTGGCAGTCTCCAAATCGCTGGTGGGGCAACCACGGCCCTCCGCCAATCAACTTAAACGGTCGTCTAAGATGGGCCCTGCCGCACCAAAGACAATATGCATAGAACCAAAAACCTACACTTAAAACAATGTAATCCAAACGGGTTCGAATCAATCACAAAAACTCTTAAAAAGATCCGAAACAAGAAGGGAAGAAGCCGTAGTTTATATACCCTTGCAGCTTTTAAAAGATTTAAATATTCCTTACATCATCTGAATTTCGATTTATAAGCGTATTTGCTTAAAAACATTGAAATTATGATGATTTTCAGCTGAATCATTCGGTCGTTCCGATGGCATCGTTATTTGATTTTAATAAATTGAAATACGTTAATCTAAGTTATAAAATCATTACTAAGTCCTTAAAAAAATTTAAAACAAATTTAAAAAAATAGAAAAATTAAATTTTTTTAAAATTTTTAATTTTTTTTATATTTTAATTGTTCCATAAGGAGCTATATGTTATAGTCGGCCGATTTAAATAAATATAAATCCTGAATTCTGAAGTATTAAACCATCACTATTTGTCGAAAAAACTGCAAAGTTATAATTTTTAAAATTTATTTTTCCAATTGTTCCTATGGGACTATCCGACTTATGTATTAACTGCAATAGAAAGTGAGGTCGATCAAGAATATATAGACTGTATGGTCTTTTTCACTGCGCTGTAAACTTCTGGTTGAAATTATAATACCCTCTGCAAGAGTATAAAAAAGGTTGTATTTTGTAGTCACAATATATTGAAGATTTTTTAGATGTTTCTCAAATTTAGTTAGAAATGTAACATAGTTTCTAAGTGAAAATGCGTGAAATGCTTTACCATCATTTTCTGACAAAAAAAGTTGCATGTGACATTGCAACAACAACTTCAATACCGTTTTGGATACACTTCAAAATTTGTTGTCTGCCTGAGAACAACATAGTTAAACAATTTTTAACTTTATATAATTTTGTGTTCCTGGAAGGCATACAAATTGGACCAACATATTCCACAGATGTAATAGAAACATATCGCATTTTAATTGAGGAACTGAACAGCAAGCTGTAAATGCGTTTGTGGAGCATTTGCATCTGTTTATTTAGTGCGCTGATGTTACATCAATGGCTCAACCGCTCTTTCGACGCCACTTCCTACAGAGGTGGCCACAAACCCACAATGGCTTTCCGCCCACAATGGCTTTCCGCTGCTCACAAAGCTGCCACAGATCCTAGGGAAACTCACAGGGCATTGTTCGGGCGAAATGGAGCACCAGAGTAGCAGAAATTCCCACCAAATATGCATGAACCAGCCACCTACTTTGCGCTGGAATGTGCAAGCTCATAACAGGCCAGTTTTTGCGATCGTAACTATTTTTAAAATTTGTGTTCAGATATCTTTCTCTGGTCGAATAAGATAGGGGAATGTGTGGAAAAAATGTCGGTGTTCCGAGAGCAAAACCAAAATTTCCATATGTTGGCAGTGCTTATCTCGTTTTGAAGCCAAGAAAAAGTGTAGTTTTTAACATTTATTTTTATTGTGACCAAAGCTACACACACTTTTGAAGATACACACAGAATTGGAAGTATTTTGTCATGCACCATAACATTCTTTTATTTTTTTTTAAGTTTTAAAATCTGTTGGATCTGATTTGTGGCGTTCTAATAAAAGTATATAAATAATGTGAATTGATTAAATTCCCGGTTTGGAATCAGTTTATTTCAAATCGAAATAGTTTCGCCAGGATCTACCGGACCTTCTCTTAATATGGAAATTGACTTGTGCTTTTGTAATAATATATTTGTGGAATGACAATGTGTTCATTTTCTTTGAAGGTGACCAAACTGGACGACATCAGTCCGCTGATATTCCTGAACCGAACGAAAGCAGCTCTCAACTGTGCCGCCGGCTCCATGCAGGTATGTCTCTTGGCTTTGCTTTACGGGAATCCGCTTTCTTGGGCCATAACCAACGATCTCTGGCCAACAGGTTGACCTCAAGTTCAACGACCCGTTCCATGGCATCATCCAGGCCGACTACGACCGCAGCAGTGCGTGCCGCGTGAGCGGCAAAGGAGCCCTCAGCTACCGCCTCGAGTTGCCGCTCAAGGGATGCGGCACCATCCAGGTGGGTGCTTTCGACATCTCAGCTCGCGAGTTGCTCTAATCCCGTGTCCTCCTGCAGAACCCCACCCGTGTGTTCACCAACAACATCATAGTCCGCTTCCACGCCAACCTGGAGATGGACGGCGACGAGATCATCACGATAGTCTGCCGCTACCCGCCGCCAGTGCCCTCGCTGCCGCCCGCCTTACCGGCGCCCATGTAAGCCTCTAGTTCTCTAATCTCTATATAGAAAGTTATCCGTACGAAAACTGGGAATTAACGCACAGCCAATAATAATATGCACTTTTATTACATTCTAATAACTTTAAACTGATTTGCTTAGACTTAAAGGGGCTCCCGAAGTGACCCAATCGGTTCCCATTGGAAAAGTCGCTCCTCTACATCCGGGTGGTGTGGAAATGAGGGCTTATTAAAGTTTCAGGAAAAACTACAAATATATTTAAAGTAACATCTAAAATGCAAAATTATATAGTTCTACTGCAAAACTATTATATAAGAAAAGTAGCTTTAGGATATTCGGGTTATCCATCGCAAGCGAAGCTGAACTAGCACCCCGCTAGTTTCTCTCTAAAAATAATCAGGAACCTCGAAGAAATTATCTGAAAACTACAAAGATGTTTATAAGTCAAAAACTAACTTAAAAAAGCCGAAGCAAAGTTCCCAAGTTAAATTATTGTTAACTTTAAAAAACCTAGTAAATCCTAGTAAATCAAGTACTTTGGCTTTCATCATTGCGGTTTTTAGTTGTTCTAAACATATTACATATTTTTCAATACTTAATTTCATTTTAATATGTGAAAATTGAAATAAAATATACAGCACATAAGTCAACTAGAACCCAATTTCCCATATCTTCCACATTAATTCAAGTGTTTTAACACTGAATAATGCAATTTAAAATTCATATTTTATTTTTAATAAGATATGTATGTAATAGGAAATCTTGGATTCTATTGCAACAGATTTATTTATACTATTCTATTTTTATCAGTGTAGGATATAACATATAAATAACGTACTAAAATTTAACTTACTTAACACTTAGTATGCCAATAGACCAAAATTGCAATCATATTACTTGTATTCATTGCTATATGTTATATTAGATTAACTTTCCTCTGTTTACGATTGAAGATTTCTACAGCTATGGACAGCTAATTAGCACAAAGGACGCTTTGACTCTATTCTCAACAAATTTCCTTTCAAACTGCGGCTCTTTTTGCAACCGATTTAGATTTTAACAAAATGAATACTTCTTCACATTGGTCAACATTTTTTTTATTTATTTATTATATAACACTAAAAAATGGTAATCGAATGCTGTGAAGGCAACATTGATTTGAATAGAAGTAATGGGTTCCAGTCTTCTGTCCATGGCTGTATGTTTCTTTAAACTTTTTTTTCCAACGATTTAGATTTTAACAAAATTAAAAATCTTTCACATTGGTCAACACTTTTTTTTTATTTATTTATTGTATAACACTTAAAATAAATGTTAATCGAACGTGGTGTAGGCAATATTAATTTGAGCAGATGGTTCCATTCACCTGGCCATAGCTGTATGGTCTTTAAAACTTTTTTTTCAACCGATTTAGATTTTACCAAAATGAATACTCCTTCACATTGGTCAACACTTTTTTTTTATTTATTTATTATATAACACTAAAAGTAAATGTTAATCGAATGCTGTGAAGGCAAAATTAATGGCTGTGCAATGGGTTCCAGTCACCTGGCAATAGCTGTATGGTCCTTTAAACTTTTTTTTCAACCGATTTAGATTTTAACAAAATTAAAAATCTTTCACATTGGTCAACACTTTTTTTATTTATTTATTGTATAACACTTAAAATAAATGTTAATCGAACGTGGTGTAGGCAATATTAATTTGAGCAGATGGTTCCATTCACCTGGCCATAGCTGTATGGTCTTTAAAACTTTTTTTTCAACCGATTTAGATTTTACCAAAATGAATACTCCTTCACATTGGTCAACACTTTTTTTTTATTTATTAATCGAATGCTGTGAAGGCAAAATTAATGGCTGTGCAATGAGTTCCAGTCACCTGGCAATAGCTGTATGGTCCTTTAAACTTTTTTTTCAACCGATTTAGATTTTAACAAAATTAAAAATCTTTCACATTGGTCAACACTTTTTTTTATTTATTTATTGTATAACACTTAAAATAAATGTTAATCGAACGTGGTGTAGGCAATATTAATTTGAGCAGATGGTTCCATTCACCTGGCCATAGCTGTATGGTCTTTAAAACTTTTTTTCAACCGATTTAGATTTTACCAAAATGAATACTCCTTCACATTGGTCAACACTTTTTTTTATTTATTTATTATATAACACTAAAAGTAAATGTTAATCGAATGCTGTGAAGGCAAAATTAATGGCTGTGCAATGAGTTCCAGTCACCTGGCAATAGCTGTATGGTCCTTTAAACTTTTTTTTCAACCGATTTAGATTTTAACAAAATTAAAAATCTTTCACATTGGTCAACACTTTTTTTTATTTATTTATTGTATAACACTTAAAATAAATGTTAATCGAACGTGGTGTAGGCAATATTAATTTGAGCAGATGGTTCCATTCACCTGGCCATAGCTGTATGGTCTTTAAAACTTTTTTTCAACCGATTTAGATTTTACCAAAATGAATACTCCTTCACATTGGTCAACACTTTTTTTTATTTATTTATTATATAACACTAAAAGTAAATGTTAATCGAATGCTGTGAAGGCAAAATTAATGGCTGTGCAATGGGTTCCAGTCACCTGGCAATAGCTCTATGGTCCTTTAAACTTTTTTTTCAACCGATTTAGATTTTAACAAAATTAAAAATCTTTCACATTGGTCAACACTTTTTTTTATTTATTTATTGTATAACACTTAAAATAAATGTTAATCGAACGTGGTGTAGGCAATATTAATTTGAGCAGATGGTTCCATTCACCTGGCCATAGCTGTATGGTCTTTAAAACTTTTTTTTCAACCGATTTAGATTTTACCAAAATGAATACTCCTTCACATTGGTCAACACTTTTTTTTTATTTATTTATTATATAACACTAAAAGTAAATGTTAATCGACTGCTGTGAAGGCAAAATTAATGGCTGTGCAATGGGTTCCAGTCACTTGGCAATAGCTGTATGGTCCTTTAAACTTTTTTTTCAACCGATTTAGATTTTAACAAAATTAAAAATCTTTCACATTGGTCAACACTTTTTTTTATTTATTTATTGTATAACACTTAAAATAAATGTTAATCGAACGTGGTGTAGGCAATATTAATTTGAGCAGATGGTTCCATTCACCTGGCCATAGCTGTATGGTCTTTAAAACTTTTTTTTCAACCGATTTAGATTTTACCAAAATGAGTACTCCTTCACATTGTTCAACACTTTTTTTTTATTTATTTATTATATAACACTAAAAGTAAATGTTAATCGACTGCTGTGAAGGCAAAATTAATGGCTGTGCAATGGGTTCCAGTCACTTGGCAATAGCTGTATGGTCCTTTAAACTTTTTTTTCAACCGATTTAGATTTTAACAAAATTAAAAATCTTTCACATTGGTCAACACTTTTTTTTATTTATTTATTGTATAACACTTAAAATAAATGTTAATCGAACGTGGTGTAGGCAATATTAATTTGAGCAGATGGTTCCATTCACCTGGCCATAGCTGTATGGTCTTTAAAACTTTTTTTCAACCGATTTAGATTTTACCAAAATGAATACTCCTTCACATTGTTCAACACTTTTTTTTTATTTATTTATTATATAACACTAAAAGTAAATGTTAATCGAATGCTGTGAAGGCGAAATTAATGGCTGTGCAATGGGTTCCAGTCACCTGGCAATAGCTGTATGGTCCTTAAAACTTTTTTTTCAACCGATTTAGATTTTAACAAAATTAAAAATCTTTCACATTGGTCAACACTTTTTTTTATTTATTTATTGTATAACACTTAAAATAAATGTTAATCGAACGTGGTGTAGGCAATATTAATTTGAGCAGATGGTTCCATTCACCTGGCCATAGCTGTATGGTCTTTAAAACTTTTTTTTCAACCGATTTAGATTTTACCAAAATGAATATTCCTTCACATTGGTCAACACTTTTTTTTTATTTATTTATTGTATAACACTTAAAATAAATGTTAATCGAACGTGGTGTAGGCAATATTAATTTGAGCAGATGGTTCCATTCACCTGGCCATAGCTGTATGGTCTTTAAAACTTTTTTTTCAACCGATTTAGATTTTACCAAAATGAATACTCCTTCACATTGGTCAACACTTTTTTTTATTTATTTATTATATAACACTAAAAGTAAATGTTAATCGAATGCTGTGAAGGCGAAATTAATGGCTGTGCAATGGGTTCCAGTCACCTGGCAATAGCTGTATGGTCCTTTAAACTTTTTTTTCAACCGATTTAGATTTTAACAAAATTAAAAATCTTTCACATTGGTCAACACTTTTTTTATTTATTTATTGTATAACACTTAAAATAAATGTTAATCGAACGTGGTGTAGGCAATATTAATTTGAGCAGATGGTTCCATTCACCTGGCCATAGCTGTATGGTCTTTAAAACTTTTTTTTCAACCGATTTAGATTTTACCAAAATGAATACTCCTTCACATTGGTCAACACTTTTTTTTATTTATTTATTATATAACACTAAAAGTAAATGTTAATCGAATGCTGTGAAGGCAAAATTAATGGCTGTGCAATGAGTTCCAGTCACCTGGCAATAGCTGTATGGTCCTTTAAACTTTTTTTTCAACCGATTTAGATTTTAACAAAATTAAAAATCTTTCACATTGGTCAACACTTTTTTTTATTTATCTATTGTATAACACTTAAAATAAATGTTTATCGAACGTGGTGTAGGCAATATTAATTTGAGCAGATGGTTCCATTCACCTGGCCATAGCTGTATGGTCTTTAAAACTTTTTTTTCAACCGATTTAGATTTTACCAAAATGAATACTCCTTCACATTGGTCAACACTTTTTTTTTATTTATTTATTATATAACACTAAAAGTAAATGTTAATCGAATGCTGTGAAGGCAAAATTAATGGCTGTGCAATGGGTTCCAGTCACCTGGCAATAGCTGTATGGTCCTTTAAACTTTTTTTTCAACCGATTTAGATTTTAACAAAATTAAAAATCTTTCACATTGGTCAACACTTTTTTTTATTTATCTATTATATAACACTAAAAGTAAATGTTAATCGAATGCTGTGAAGGCAACATTGATTTGAATAGAAGTAATGGGTTCCAGTCATCTGTGGTCCTTTAAACTTTTTTTTCAACCGATTTAGATTTAAAAAAAAATTAAAAATCTTTCACATTGGTCAACACTTTTTTTTATTTATCTATTGTATAACACTTAAAATAAATGTTTATCGAACGTGGTGTAGGCAACATTAATTTGAGTAGATGCTGGCTGTGTAATGGGTTCCATTCACGTGGCCATAGCTGTATGCTCCGGCGACGGACCTCAGAGACTCGACTGCTTAGTAACCCTGGTCTCTCCCGCAGCCTGAACCCCATCGCCACCAGCTCCGTGCTGCAGCCGCCGCTGAAGAGCATCCAGATCCTGATGATCATCTGCGCCATCATGTTCCTGACCCTGCTGCTCCTGGGCCTGGCCGTGTCCTACTACTGCCTGCGCAGCCGCTCCATTCCCGTGGTGCGGCGCCTGCCCATGAGCATGGGCAGCGGCTCGGAGATCACCAAGCTGAGCGGCAGCAGCGTGGGCAACATCAGCGCCTTCGAGGGCGTCAAGATCCCGCGCGCCCACGCCGCCCTCCAGGCGGTCTACAGCTCCTCGGGCAGCGAGGGCGCCCTCATACCCTCGGACTACCCCAGCGAGTCGCACTCGGAGATCGAGGAGATCGACACCCGCTCGCTGCCCTTCAGCTCGGCGGGCAGCTGCGAGAACCGCGCCTTCGTCCACGAGACCTCCAGTCTCTACAGTGACCACTACGCCCCAGCCTCTGCCTCTGCCCAGGAGCCCTCTGCCGCCAGCGCGGTGATGACCACCACCTCGGTGACGCGCCACGCCTTCCCACTGCAGGAGGCCGTCGCCGTGGCCGCCGACTCGCCCAAGTTCGACGTGCAGGTGCGGGTCAAGAAGTCACCGCCGCCGCCGCCCTCGCCCGTGACCTCGGACACGGAGAGCGTGGCCACGCTGCGTCCGGACCGCAACAACCTGTCCACCATCCTGGAGGCCTACGAGGACCGCGAGAGCGTGCTGACCCTCGACTCGCTCCCGCCCCCGCCGGACGCCCTGGCCATGCACTCGCAGTTCACCTACGTGCCCGAGCTCCATGCGGCGCCGCTTCCAGTGGCTCAGGCCGAGCCCAAGTTCTCCGTGTACACGCGCACCCACCACGAGGTGGTGGACGGACGGCCGGAGACGTGGTCCGACTACACCGACGGCCCGGCCCCCAGCGAGATCACCGACCTGTCCTCCGAGGCGCCCGACCTGACCGTGGACACGATGCACTACTACGAGGACGAGTTCCAGCCGGTGGCCGCCCTGCAGCCGCAGCCGCAACCGCCGGTGACCACGTCGCACACGGTGGACGATGTCTATCTGCGCACGGTGACCGAGCGGAAGACCATCGAGGACATCGAGAGCCACAAGCGCCGCGTCACGGAGTACAAGAGCAAGCCGCGGGCACCGCTGCCGCCGCCGCCGCCACCGCCGGCGCCGCCGGTGGACCCCAAGTTCGATGTGCGCGTGCGCAACTACCCTAGCGACCGGGAACAGGCGCTGTGGGAGAACTTCTCGGACATCTCGAGCGCCTCCGGGCTGACCCTCACGCCCAGGATGGAGCGCAGCGAGCTGACCCTGGCGCCACCGCCCGCCCAGAACCAGATCCACGACAACAAGCTAAAGCTGACCAGCCCCGAGCTGGTGGGCAACATGAAGCCGATCGAGGTGCCGCCGCAGGACAAGGACGTACCCAACTGGGACGTGCTGATCCGCATCCTGGAGGAGCCGGAGCCGGAGCTGGCCGAGATGTCGGAGGCCGGCGCCGACGACGCCAGCTCGGTGCACAACCTGAGCTACGACGACCGGGCCAAGTGGAAGGAGATCATCACGACGCAGTCCTCGCTGCGCACCATGCTCACCGAGGCGGTGGTGCGCGAGGACTTCGAGCGCATCCGCCAGGACACGCGCTACGAGCGCATCTTCGAGCCGCAGACCTGGGACGTCATCATCCGCATCCTGGCCCCGCCCGGCGACGACGAGGACCCGGACGTGGAGCTCCGCACGCCGCGCCGCGGCAAGAAGGCCTCGCCGCAGCCCTGGGACACGCGATCGCGCCGCAGCTCGCTGCCCACGCTCTACGAGTACGACAGCGACGGGGGCTCCAGTGTGCGGACCATCCGGAACGACCCCGGTATGTCAGGGATGCCAGGGATGTCGGGCATGCCGGGTATCTTCTCGGGAGGACCTGGGGCACCCGGAGCCGGAGCCTTCAACCTGCAGCGGTCGCGCCGCAGCTCGCGCACCTCCTACCAGACCGACCACAACGACTTCCGCTCCATGTCCGAGGTGACCGTCGACTTCGGCCGACGGCAGGTGGACCACCCGGACACGGACAACGTGAGCGACGCCAGCAGCACGTACCGCATGCAGTACTACGACGACGACGACCGGCGCTCCTTCCACCGCTCCCTCAGCCACCCCTCGCTGGCCCGCTCCGCCAGCGAGTTCACCGAGCACTGGACCGCCCCCGACGAGATGGAGGTCTCCTCCCCGGAGGGCACTCCGCGCACACGCCGGGCTCGACAGGATCGACAGGTAAGTGGTTGGGCAATCCCCTCAAGCCACGCTATTTAGGGCTGAAAAAACTGCGGTTCGGACAGAACTCCTTGCAGAGGGTTATAACTCCCCTCCAGCCATTTCCGACCCTACCAGATGAACTTTGACCAACACAATCCAGTGTACAACCGGGGTAAAGAAAAAAAACAATTGAAGAGAGAACGCATAGTTGAGTTTCCAGACTCTTAGACACCCGCCACTCGGCTCCCCCACCCCCGCTAATAGTTCTTTCGTTCTGTCTCTCTAGTGCAGCGATTACCAGCAGAGCAGCGGCAGAGCCCTTCATAAACCTGTAATTTCTTGAATATTAGCCCGATTTGAAAATCTCTATCGAAACGTATGACCTCAGCACACACACAGGGTGCAACACATACGGTCTAACATGTCTCGGAGTGACAGTTCATATGTTCACGATTTGTGGGCGTTACAGTGGGAGTGGCTCCGTTTTGAAATAAACCTCTAGCATTCATAGTTTCCCAGAACTCTACGTTAATACTGACGGACAGACAGACGGACATGGCTAGATCGAGACGGTTATTGATCCTGATCAAGAATATATATTCTTTATATAGCCGGAAACGCTTCGTTCAACCTGTTACACACTTTTCAACGAAAGCAATATACCCTGTTAATTACCTCCATTAAGAAAAAACTAAACACTGCCATTGTGTGCAACTGAATCAAGAAAGGAAGCAAGCTTATGCTGCAGGAGCTTAAATACCCTTGTAGCTATTGCAAAAACTAAATATTCCTTAAAACAACTTTGCTTCGATTTTGATGTGTGTATGTATAAAAAAGTTGAGCCATGTTGGTTTTCCGTTTGTATGGGAGCTATATGGCATGGTCTTCCGACTGGAATAGTATTTAGATAATACAAAAACCTTAATTTTTAAATATTTAACGATTACTATATGCCGAAGAATATTACAAAATAAGAAAGGAAGTTTATATACCCTTGCATCTATTGCAAAATTTAAATATGCTTTAAACAAGAAAGGAAGCAAACTTTGGCAAGCTGAAGTTCATATACCCTTGCAGCTATTGCAAGAATTAAACATTTTTGAAAACATTAAAATTATAATTTACTTGCGTATATGTTTAAAAACATTGAAGCTATGATGATTTGCAGCTCAATTATTTGATAGTTATTTTATATATTTTTATTGTTCCTATGGGAGCTATATGATATAGTCGTCCGACTTTGATGAAACTTAAACCGTAAATTGGAAATATTTAACCATTACTAAATGTCGAAGAACTAAACAAAAATTAAAAAACAGCAAAGTTATAATTTTTTTCATTTATTTTTCCGATTGTTCCTATGGGAGCTATATGCTATAGTCGTCCGATCCGGCTCGATCCGACTTATATACTACCTGCAATAGAAAGACAACTTTTGGGAAAGTTTCATGCAGCTAGCTTTAAAACTGAGAGACTAGTTTGCATATAAACGGACGGACAGACGGACAGACGGACAGACGGACAGACTGACAGACGGACGGACAGACGGACATGGCTAGATCGACTCTACTAGTGATGCTGATCAAGAATATATATACTTTATAGGGTCGGAGATGTCTCCTTCACTGCGTTGCAAACTTCTGACTGAAATTATAATACCCTCTGCAAGGGTATAATAACTATCAAATAATTGAGCTGCAAATCATCATAGCTTCAATGTTTTTAAACATATACGCAAGTAAATTATAATTTTAATGTTTTCAAAAATGTTTAATTCTTGCAATAGCTGCAAGGGTATATGAACTTCGGCTTGTCGAAGTTTGCTTTCTTTCTTGTTAAAAATGATTTGGTTGCTTAAGTCAACTTTAGAATGTACTGTTGCCTTTGATAAGAAATGTGTTTTAGCTGACATTATGTGTTGAATGACTTATTTGTACGAAAACTTCAAGTCCACTACCAAATTAAATAATATATTTAAAATAAAAAGATTTGGTCTTAAAATACATATGTTGCTCGCCAAAATCAACCACATTAAACGGTGGAAGTACATTGACCTCTCTGTCAATAATTTGTTGCTCACTGGGGTTCTTAACACTTAACTTGTTTAAAACATTGTGTGTGTTACTCTAGCAACCCCGATTTGACCTTTGATCTTTCGTACTCCAAAAGTGTTGGCCAATAAATCAATGTGTTCCACTCCCTCATTTCAGCCCCTGCCATCGACCCATCTGGCTTTGACCTCGGGACGAGCCGGTGAGCGCGTTCTGGCCCAGACTCAGACGCAGACCCAGAGTGAGTACGTGGAGACCCACCGAAGGGTGTACCACGCGGAACAGGAGGCGCCCTTGCCGCCGCGCAAGTGGTAGGGAGAGTGGTGGACGAGTGCCCTCACTAAACAATCGACGGAGCACGCCGATCCGAACGGGGTTTCAAGGTAGAGCCCCATTTGCAGACGTGTGCTCCGGAAACTGCTGCAGCCACCAGGCGGAAACTGCTGCTCCACGAAGACCCCTTACATTTAATTTGCGCTAATGGGTCGTTCCGTACATAACCTTACAACAATTAACAAACGTGCCAATTACAATTGCCTGACAGAGTAGCCACTACAAGAGTTTGAAGCGGACGAAGTTGATGGACGACAATCGGAACGGACGAGAGGAATACCTACCAACTTTTCGACCTTTTCTGAGAGTTCAGTTAGCGAAAACTGCAAACCGAAGGGGTACTTAGACTCAAAATTGTACTAAAGTATAAACAAGATGCCAACTCCACTCGATTCGTGTGTTCAGCACTCCCAATAGAGATTTCGCATTTAATCGAACATGTTCAGTAGAAAAGAGCGGTATAGATAAATACATATAGTGTGTGAAGGTTTTAAATATAGTAAAAAGTGTTCTTTGGCAGAAGACGCTGCCGCCGATCAGTCACAACGTGAAACCCCGTCGTCCTCTCTAATACGATAATTCTTCTAATACAAGTCGAATGAATACACTCTAATTTCTAGTGACAAATGTATATATGTATATATACAGAGATCAAACTGCCACATGCACTCGATTTTGACCAGATTCGATGATCAATACTTTTGAAATATATTCTCCAGGTGGGACAGATACACAGGTTTGAAATGAAAGTATTACTACAGTATAGTTTTCCCATTGAACCGCCTTCTTGATTCTGATGTATTGGGATTAATTACGAGTGCGCCAAGTGTTCGGGACGGAAAGCTGCAACAGAATCCTAATGAAAAAAGACATACAGATCGATAATATACGGGGTCTCAAATGGATTCCTTTCAAAGGATCGCACAATACTTTCTCATGATTATCAATTTTTTCGTAACATAGTACTAATCCGTCCAAGACATATACTTAAGTGTAATTGATAAATAATAATAATACGCAAATAGACAAACTTACATATTTAATTCGCTTTTTGGTTAGACAAGCCTTACAGAAATGTGTCTGCCCTAAAGCACTTGAAATAAATTATGAATAAATATACCCACTAACAAAGTTTGACTTGTTTTCATTTTTCTACCCTTACAGAGGTCATTATAACTTCAGTCAAAATTCTGCAACGCAGTGATCAGTATCACTAGGAAGTCGATCTAGCCATGTCCGTTTGTCCGTCCGCCTGACCGTCCGTCTCAAATTATTCTCTCAGCTTAAAAGCTATCTGCATGAAGCATTCCCAAAAGTGTTTCCATTGCCGGATTAGTTGGAAAAAAATTAAAGAAAACTATGACTTCACTGCATTTTAACTATTTTTTTTATATCTGACAACTATGTATATCGTTTAGCTCCCATAGAAACATCCGAAAAAATATATAAAAGAAAGTTAAACGTTGCCTATTTTCAATTGATTTGAATATTGAATATTGTTTCCATAAACAGTAGTGGTTTGTTATTTCAGAATTAGTGTTTTAGCGTCATAATCAGTATGACGAGCCCACCTCAATACACTGAAATAAATTAGGAAAAGAAAAGTTATTTGTTTTCGTATCGCCAAACAATTTAATAACTATTAATATAATAACTATTAATATAATTGCTCGCACTTAATGTGTGTGAGTAATCTCCACGGGGAAACTTGTCAATGTGTGTGCCGACAGCGCTGCTCTGCATAAGTTGGGGTTGCTCATGATGCAAATATACATATATAGAGTGATCTTATCAGATCTGTCAAGGACGAAACATTTTTAGAGACAAGTGCTAGAAAGAGATAGCAATCGTTTAACTTTTGTACATTTGACAAACGACTGGCAAATGTTACCAATCGGCCCGCTTTGGCCAACTATTTGAATTTTTGCCTATACATTTAGCCTATTGCTTAATTGATTTTTATACACTTGCAGAAGGTATTATAATTGTAGTCAGAAGTTTGCAACGCAGTGAAGGAGACGTTTCCGACTCTATAAAGTATATATATTCTTGATCAGCATCACTAGGAGAGCCGATCCGTTTCTACGCAAACTAGTCTCTCAGTTTTAAAGCTATCTGCATAAAACCTTCCCAAAACTTGTCTTTCTATTGCAGGTAGTACATATGTAAGTCGGTATTAGCCGGATCAGACGACTACAGCACATAGCTCCCATATGAGCTCATCCCTACTTGACGTAGCACCGCTTCTCCATTTGAATAAAACGACGCGCCGAAAAAATATGTCAGCCTTCGGCTTGTATATTTTTCCTTTTCGTATCTAGTAGTCCGTATTTTTGTGTGGAGTAAGTGGCAAAATTTGTGATAAAGTGCAGAGTCAGTTTAAGTCGGAATTTCGTGCGTTACGCTTTTTGCAAAATCCCGCTTGTTTCGATTGCACAGCAGTATTTTGGCCCTTGGTTTTTTGCATCCAAATTTTGGCAGACATTTTTGCACCGATTACAATATTATTATCCTTGGCAGGGATAATTGCATTCTTAACTTTGCCGGCTTTAAAAGTTGTTTTTATAGAAAATATATGTATATATATGTTATAACAAATTATACAATTTCTAATATTAAAAGGCATTATCAAAACAGTAATTCTAGATATGGTTTTTTAAGTAAGTAAATATTTGATCCTTATTAGTGTTATTGATTTGGAAGAACATTGAAAAGTTTAGTAGATTCATATTTTAATAATGATGATATTACGGAATAAAAATAATAAAATAACGAAATATTTTATTTTAAAAGTGAATTTAAGGTTGAATTTGATTCTAACTATCATATGCAGTTGTGGCTATATCATTGGTTATTTTAAACAATTTTGGGCAATCCCTCTTCCCCGAATCCACTAACTTATGATGTAAATTTGCAACCTTTTTTTAACCCTTAACATATAAAAATAATAAAATTACGGGGGTTTTACGAAATACGCCGGAATTTGGACGGTTCTGCTCCTGGAATCGCTCACCCAGGGCCAGCTTATGCATGTCGGGGCCCCTAGGCAAATATCTTATCAATATGTTAAATTTTTAAAGAATGATATGTCATCGATACGATACTTTTTACATATTTTCACAACCCTATATTTTACATACGAGAATCTTACATTAGTTCACTTTTTTTCCACCAGGGGGCGAGCATGAGAGTAACGATATATGCAACCGGTTAACGGCCAAAGCGCTTCTCAGTTCGTAACGCGGCTTAGCTCGTAAAGCGACATCTGAAAGTCTTTTATTTTGGGCTGCGTCTTGACTATATGTTTCTCTAGATGGAGGAGAACCTAAGTTTCAGGGGTGTGATTTCAAATATCATTACTTTCATTTTCGCCGTCTGGCGGAAAAAGTGAACTTATGTAAAATTCTCGAATGTAAAATAGTCATTTGAACCGGTTAAGCGCGATGGCTGTTGTTGAACCGGTAAAGAGCCGAGAGCTTTTGTTTAACATCACAAAACATTTAATCCGACAACGCGGGTGCTGTATTTGAACCGAAAGAGCGCGGGAGCCGTTTTTAAAAAATGTTAAATAACAATCGAGAATTTTGGTTTAGCATTACAAAAAATGTAATCTGTAAAAATGTAATTTTTTTGTATATTTATGTATGTATGAATAATATATAAATTCAAAGTTGTTTTTAAATAATTTTGTTTTCATGTTCAAGAATAACATATATATTTTTATTTCAACAATTTTTGAACTGTTTAAGAGTAATTATAAATTAATTATAATATATACCGGTCTTCCAACTTAAAGCGCATAGACCTGAAACTATTAATATACATTTATTCAAAATTATTTGGTACCTAGTTGAACTCGTCAAATGTTTCTAAGATAGACTTTCTCTCCTTTTCCATTCTCATTCGTCAGGACAGTTTCTAGTTAATATTGGAAATTCCGATATCCTATTTTTGCGTATACAGAGACGATTTTTTAGAAATAGCAAAAGGTTATGTGTTTTTGTTGTCCGAAGTATGGGATGCATCCCAACCATATACACTGAAAATTATCGGTAAAACCCATGGAATGCCTGAATCACTTTTGAACCCCATAAAATTAAATGCAATCGCATTAAATGTAGCTACTTAAAGTTGTAGTTGTAATAATTCGTGTCTGTATAGCCATTTATATATAGTATAAAAGCCACCCAAGTACAAAAAACACATCTACATACACACGACTGTTGAGTCGACATCACAATTGCTTTGAATTTCTGCATTAATAGAATCAATAATCAATTTAATTTTTATTTATCACTATAAACATATCCAACATTTCGGTTATCTTCGTCAACGACATCATTGAGGAGAACCCATTTCTAGATGTCGTCACATCTCACATCAACCCAAACGATGGCGGACGACTTTAATAACGTGGATTTGGATGAAAACCCAATAGGCAGGACCTGGAGGAGTGTTTGGCTTCTCAGTTACGACGTGAAGTGGATGGATGTTTAGTTGGATGTTTACTGCTTTTGGTCAACTAGTTGAGGTGGACATTCAACAAGACTTTCCCGATGACGTCAGCATTTTCGATGGAATTGAATATGGCGAAGTAAGTCCATATTTAGATTTGCTTAATGATGTTGTATTTTGGAGCTCTTAGAATTTAACATTGCTTTGATGTTTTAAAGCAGTTAGGTTACAGTGGAATGAATTTACAAATTTTATGTTTTGTTTAAGAGTGAAGTTATGTTTCAGTAGGATATGCATTTACAAATTGTGTCGCAGCCAGAATTTGTTTATTTCAGGACAGAAACAACAATGATTTTTTATTGCTTAAATTGTGTATTTTCAATGTATGAAGTTTCAAAACATTACGGGTAGAAAAGTATTTCGGATTAACACACAACTTACAAATAAACGTCGCCATTCCGATTCTATAATAAACTGGGCGATATCAAAAGAACATGTTCTTTAAATAGGGTTATGAATTTTTTTAACACATATTTTAAAATTTATTATATATATAATATATATATACATGTATATATTGTATATATATAGATTTATATATATTTTTATAAGGTACATATATAATTACTACGATTAAAATTAAAAAGGGTCTTCGAGAACATAAAAGGCTATGTATTATTCTATAAGTATGTTAAAGTAGTTTACACCCGCAAATTACCAGAAAATTGGTTATACAAAAATGTAAAATCTATGTCTTGGTTTTGAGAATAAAATCATTGGATGTAAACTAAAGAAAACACCATATTGCAAGCTGTTATATGAAATGCAACTGTCTGGTTTCGAATTTGCCCTACTGCCTTTCCCATTATTACTTGAAAGAGATGTTCTAAAAACCCTTAAAATAAAACATGCGCTATGTAAAACAAATAAGGAATGTATTGATAATACTATTTTGATTGACAAAACTGTTGCGATTACTTTCAAGTAGTTTTGTGCATCCTTCTTTGCTAAACGGGATTTATACAACAATACACTCTGTAATTCTGAAAAACATTCTGCAAACGCGATTGCATGCAATCAATTAAATTCGTTGTTTTAAGATGATTGACAAAAAATTTATAAATTTTTTATTTTTATACTCGGGTGATAAACCTTTATTCTTAAAACTCAATTATTACAAGACACTTTTAATACTAGATCTACATCTACTGGAAAAGCTTAAGATGAAACTGTTGCATCTCATTGTGAATCGGACCTCAAAGCCAAGGGCAAAGACAAAGGCAAATGAGGAGTTAAAAAATTTGTTTATAATAGCCATAAGCCTGGTTTCACGGGTTGGATAACTTTCGCCATTCTAAAATGCATCGTCCCGATTCAATATGAATTTCATTTAACAGATCTCTCAATTCTGTTAAAATATTTTCTTGGTTAATAAATTTTTTTGGTTCTGGCCGTTGTTTTTTGATTACAAGACGGAACATTTGAAATCATCCATTTCTTCAACCTTCAAAGCCAAAAAGAAATTCTATCGAAGTCAGAAGAATTATTTCATTTACTCACCTCATTACACCCATGAACTAAAACAGATCAAAACTGATTTACGCATACTCCAAACTCAAATAAGACAAAAAAGAACAATAGAAGCAATAGGTACCGCATGGAAATGGCTGGCGAGATCACCAGATCACCACGACTATCAGATCTTAGAAGATAAGGTAAATGAGCAGTTAGAAAACAACAATAGACAAGTAGTAATTAACAGATTAATTAATCAAAAAATAAACCAACTTATTAATGCTACTAATGCAATTATGGAAATTACCCAGAGCTTGGAAGAAATCGAAAAGCAGAAAGCAAATATTTTAAAGTATAAAATTAAATTAATAAAAGAAGAAAATAACCAACATAATATACGCAATTACATAAGCCAAATCTAACATAATAAATTCATTCGTACTTACGAACTTTAAATTTTAAAAAAATCAAAAAACTTATTTTTTAGCATAGAAGAAATATTGGAATTTGCTCGAATTAAATTAGCCACAAATGGCCACGATCTTATTTACATTATTAGCCTCCCAACCAATAAAACAGACAATTGTAGAACTTTAAAAATTAAAGCAAAAAAAAAAACCCATATAATCAATAATATAAAATATGAAAATTTTTTAGAATGTAAGAGACAATTGTTTGCAATAATTAAACCTTGTGAATCCTATAATGATAAGACAATTTGTAATTCAGAAAATTTCAACATATACCGGATTTCGAAGAAATACTACCAGGCACCAGTCTCGCTAGATGAAACCACCTTCAAGAAAAGCCCACGCATTCCGGACCTGTACTCTACTACGTTGCGACCGAGGACAGTCGCGATTAAGGAGCGACGAGTTAGCACCCAAAATAATACAAATTCCCAGACAGAAGAAAAGAGTAAGCATTGATTGCACAACAAACAGCAAAGCATTGCCCTCAGTAAAGTTCAAACGAACGTGGCCACGTGCGCTGAGCTTGCACCTTTTGGTCAGCGATCGAACACAACTAAGTGCATACAATAAAAACAATAATTAAATTGCACCGGCCAATTACAATTAAGTTTGACCAACGGCAACGGCAATTAAGATCCGCAACCAATAATATAAAAGAACGACAGCAGAAACAGCAACAGCGGCAGAGACGGTGCAAGCGATTTACTTAAGTAAATTAGTTCTTAATCCAACTTAATAATAAGAAGTTTGATTTTATTTTTTATAACAAAATTATAATCAATCTTTTATCTTTTATACGGTCGGCCGCCTGCACATGAGCAGCTGCCGAGCAGTCGCTAAAGGAATTTATGCTGACACGATTAAATAAGCCTTTGCTTGCAGAGCTTGGCTGCGGAGACACTGGTGTGAATCCGTGTGAATGTATATGCCGGTTAGATTTCTAATGTTTCGTATACGTAGATTTGAAATACTCAACAATGTTATTATATGGACGCCCTTCAGTATTCGTATTGGAGTATAAATACAGTCTGCTCACGTTTACAAAGATACAGTGAACACACGCTAGTGCACATGTATGTGTTTATACTACACCAGAAGCCCAAAAGCGCAGAAAGCGCAAAAACCTAAAAGCCCAGTCGCGCAAAAGCTCAAAAAGCTCCAAAACGCAAAAGCACAAAAGCACAAACGTCCTTAAGCCCAAAGCACAAAACGACAAAAGCACAAATGCACAAAAGCGCAAGGGCAAAAAAGCCCAAAAGCACAAAATGACAAAAGCACAAACGCGCAAAAGCCAAAAAGCGCTAAAGCGAAGATCCCACGATACGGCTGTTGAAGTGTGATAATATATACAACATTAATTGCCAGGCTGATGACGCAGTTTAGTAAAAAAAAGTCTGAATACAATAAAGAAGTATTTGAACTAAACTGTACATTTTTAAAACTTGTTTAGGTATTCCGCCGGCGCGCTTCGAAATATTACATTTAATATACCTAAACTATTTTTAAGAAATTAATTTAAGTCCAATTTGGGAATGTACTGAAAGCATTTAAAAATATTTATGACAATCTGCTTTGAATCTGCTGTATGGATGGAATGATTCTCACACGTTCCCATCACAAAGTTTATTTGTAAACCTCCTGGTTTTTGCTCACTTTGCATGTACATGTCGCATTCAAAAGGTGGTAGAAGTCCTTGCACGACTTTTAAGACCTTTTGAATACTAACAATGCAATGTCCAGGCATCACTTTTGCTCTCCTGAAAATTTTTTTTTTCAGATATATAATCATATAAGTGTATTTATTTAATCGTCACGACTTTTTACCGTATTAAGAGGTGTTTATGTTTTATATCAGAAGTTCTTGCTTTTTTCTGTTGCTTTACTATTTGAAAGCTATGGGCGTACAAAGTTTAGCTTTTTCTAGTCGATCTCCCGTTAAACTATCCAGTTTTTCCAAAAGTCATGATAAAAACTTTTTTTTTAAAACGACTTGCCCAGCACAACACAATTTATTCCCGCAGGAATACGCGTATTTTCAACTAGAGTGTGATAACTAAAACAGGTTTTCAGAAGACAGATAATCATCGTTCGTCTAAGAATTTAGTTTGTCTGTAAAATATTATGCTGAATTCGCCTTGAAAGTATTTAAAATGCAGTAAATGTATCACAATATTTTATTTGATGTTAGAACAACAGATATTGTGAGTTCATTATGCTTTAAATACTTTGGCACTTGCGCTTGCACTCGTCTCCCTCGCAAATGTCGCAGAGCTTCGACTTGATGGAGTAGTACTCGGTGGCCCTCTTGTTCGTGTCATAGTAATCGTAGAGGATCACTGAGGACGGTTTCTGGTTGGCCACCGCATGGGTCCTGAAGGCTTGGACGGGAATGCATTTGTTTTCGTTCTTGGCCAGCTTCTCGAAGTAGACGACCACCACAGAGTCACCGTTCTTGGTCTCCACCAACTGGGAGATAAAGAAATCAATTGTTAGCTTAAGAGGCTGGTATTTAAGTAGCAATCAACTCACCCTGACACGAGCAATGTTACGGATGTCCTTGAAGCTATCCTGATCGGCGGTGTAGCCCGAGGGCAGGGACACCTCCAGAATGGCCATGTTGGATTCCTTGTACTTGCCCTTCTCCACGAAGTCCACGCAAACGTTCAACTGCAGTTTGACCGACGATGCTCCGGGTATAACAGTGGCCTGAACCTTGAAACTGGGCTTCGGCTCCTTCTCCACCACATTGTACTGGTAGCTTATCTGGACGAGAGCTGCGCCAGTGCCCTTCACCTCGAACTCCATGGACTTGGTGCCCTGCGGGAAGTCCACCGTCTGGAGCATCAGATCGTTCTCCTCCGATGTGGTCAGCTTCTCGGTCTTCTCGCGCTTGCCCTTGTTGGAAACGGTCACCTCACACTTGGCCGCTTTGTAGCCCGACTTCTCGGCGAACTTTATGAGGGCGGTGAGACCCACCACAGTGTCCTGGCTGGAGCCGAATCCTCCGAAGCTATTTCGCTGGGCCACCAGCCAGCGAACCGTGCTCAGCATAGTGTCGGCCGTCTTCTGCTCGGATTCCAAAAGCGAGAGCAGAGCGTACGAGGTGGTCTCCACATCCTTACTCCGCACCCAACACCACCAGCCCTGGCAGTTCTTGGGTTTGTGCCGCTCCTCCAGATCCTCGGCCCACCAAGTGCGATCATCCTCCTGCTTGGCCAGCGCTTTGAGGGCGGCCACCTGTTTGGCAGCTTGCGGGGCCTTGGCCCTTTGCAGGGCATAGATGGCTATGGATTTGGGCAACAGCTCCACGGACTCGGCCGTATTGGAGCTCAGATAGGCCACCGCCTTGTCAATGGCAGTTCGGTTGGGCTTCTTCTCCTCCAGCAAGGCCAGCAGCGAGTTGGCCGTAAGGGTCAGCAGAGATCTCTGCGAGCCATAGAAAATTTCGCCCAACTCCGTAAAGCTGCCATTTGCCGCCTGGCGAGTGAGCAGGAACTTATAGCCCTTGGCCAAAATCTTCTTGTCTATATCAACGATGTCCTTGATCTTGCTAAACGAATGCAGCACATAGGCGGTCAGCCAGGTGGAGCCATTGCGTTCCGGATCCTCCTGCCGCCACTTTTTCGGTCCAAAGGAACTGAAGCTGCCATCGTTGTGGCGATATTGCAACATATTCTGATAGCCCTTCTGCAGATTCCGCTTGATGCGAGTGTCCAAATCGGGCGTCAATTTCTTGATGCTCTTCAGGTAGCCCCTGAGCAAGTAGCTGGGCAGCAGATTGGACAAGGTCTGCTCACCGCAACCGCTGGGCAATCTGAGGAGATGCTCCAGATTCCTGACCACTGGTCCCAGGAGATCACCCACCAGTCCGAACTCCACACGCTCCGAATCGGGAACCAACTCCGCCGGCACTTTCAGCTCGAAGGTGTTCTTGAACTTATCCGTGTCCTTGAGATTAACAAAGAAGGCCCTGTTCTGGTACTGGGTGATGCCCTCGGGGACTACCTTCAGGGCCCTGTGCACAGCATCGCCGGCCAGAGGTGAGATGGCCGTAAATTTGAGCAGAATATTGCCAATCACCTTGGGTCGGATGAGGAATGAGGCACCAGCCGCTTCGTTGGCACCCACTCGAATTTTCAGCGAACGCTTCCGGTCACCGATAACCTCATTGGAGGCATCCACAAAGTCGTACTCAGCATCCTCGTTGCCCAGGGTCAGTTCCACGTCCAGTTGCTTGGGCAGATAGTTGAAGACCAGAGCGGGCACATTGATCACCTCACCGCGTTTCACCGAGTACGGCAATCGGACGGAGACGAAGAACGGCTGGAACGTCCTAATGTGCACCTGCTCATTCGTGATTCCCAAGCCCTTGAGCGGATGCAGCGAGAAGCCGGTTACCACCCAGTTGGTAATCGTGTCGGGAATGGTCTTGATCCACTTGAACACCTCCTTCTCAGTGCTATTAATGTCGGCGAAAATCCAGGTCTCCGCAAAATTCTTTCGCACAACAGGGTCAGCGGCTCCTGTCTCGGCCAATTCCGCGGTTGGCGCCATCTCTGAGTTAGTAACTTTACGACCTCCAAAGGAAAAAAAAATAGTTTATATGAATGAAGATAGATCAAATTTTACCATAAACCACTATATAGAAAAAGGACAGAGGACAGCTTAAAAGAAATAGGTTCGAGGAAAGACTTGACAATACTCGTGGAATGAGCCCAAAAATTATAAGGGTTCTAAGGTATTTTGTAAGGCAATCAACTCTAAATTAATTAATACTTAAATAAAGTGAGAAATCTTTAAGACCTTTTCCTAATGCTCGAATTTTAATAGCTAGATTTACTTACGTCTGGTGCGATTGTAGAAGTGGGCGTTGCTCATCGTAACGAGACCGGAGAGCTCTCCGGGGTAGAGAAAGTAGCCGCCGTGCCAGGGTGTGGAGGTGAAGTACCTACCCATTTGCCAGTTCAAATGCTCCTTCCTTAAGTAGTTGTGGTTGCCCAACAGGAGCACACTCTGATCGACGGCCAGTAGGCCAACGAAGGACTTTGGCGGCGTTTTGATCTCCAGCTCGACATCGGCACCCGGCTTCACCTCCTTGGGGGCCTTGATTTCGATCTTGTTCTGCAGCTCCAGCTCCACCCTGAACCTTTCCTCGGCATATTGGAGTCCGCCAGTCTCATCCACGTAGTAGAAGTACATACGACCATCGGGTGAGGTTAGGAAGGTGGGCTTTAATGTCACATTGACGGTTTTCTTGGGCTCATCTAACTCGAATCGCTTCGTCTCCAGAATATCTCCACGTCCCACGATGTTATACACGAAGTATTTTAGCGGACGACTGGAGTTGAGGGTCACCTGATACTCCTGGCCGATCTTTAGTCTGTAATAAGTATACATTTATATTCATAAGTCACATTTTCAATCACCCAAGATCAAGGCTGTAGAAAAATAATATTATTAAATTAGTACTACACAGAAAACAAGAATGTAAAATTGATATTTCAAAACAAATGCTTTTTGCATTTGGCGTATCATGTATCAAGACCAAATTGATTCTGAATTTCATCCAAACAAGGATAATTTCTTATTAATTTTTTTCTGTGTATGTTTACAGAACAAAAGGAAAACTATTAACAAATGGATTTATTAAATTATATAAAATGCCATTAATGCTAAAACAGCTTAGATACTAAGTTTGGAAATGATTTTGACTTCAATGTACATACATGATTATTATGTTAATACACCTATGGTGCATCAGTTCTGGTACTGCGCTCTCAAATACAGAAAAAACGTGAAATATATTTTATTGCAAAATATGATCGACCCATAAGGCAGGCAATAAGACTTCATTTTTGCTACGCTCGAGGACAAGATTTCATTACGGAACATATTTATTTTGTAGCTTAATGATGTATGAATAAAATATAATATTAACTATTTTTAAAAGTTTTACTAACCTCCATTTGCCCTTTGGCCTCTGCACTTTGGCCACAAACCACTCCTTTAACTCCTCATTCTTCTTGGGCTCCCTATAGGGAAAGATTTTGTAGAGTTCGCGCTTCTCGTCGAGAAACTCCAGCTCAATGTTATAGAAGTGGGTGAAGTTGGCCAAGTCCGGCAGATCGGGTAGAGTCACCTTGAAATTCGCCATGCTGGACTTATTCAAATGGCTCTCGAACACGAAAGTTTTGTTCTCAATCTTGGGTACTGGAATCTCCTTCTGTTTGCCGTAAAGTCTAAATTTGATTAAAATTCCCTCAGTAAACTTAACCTTTGTTTTGAAATTTTGAAATAATAAATATTAGTTAGTAAACACAAAAAGAATTACCAAGACTGTTGACCCACCTTCACCACAGACTTGGTGTCCGTGAGCAGTGTACCATCGACGAGGGTTATTTTGAAGGCCATTTGGTGCTCCTTGTCGGGCTTGTACGAACGGCAGGTGGGATGGTCCGCGCAGGACATTAAATAGCGATTGGGATACAGACGGACAATGCCCGTCTCGCTGAGCTTAACGCCGGTGAAGTCCTCCTCGACGGTGGCCGTAATCTGAGCACTCGAAAATGTCAAATCTCGCTGCAGATAGCTGGCGAACTCCTTCAGATCCATGGTCAGCTTGGCCTTGCCAGCGACCATGTCGGCGGTGGCCATTACAGAGTGGCCGGGGAAGACCTTGCGCACGGTCTTGCCATTGATATTGGTCAACCGGCTCGACTCATACAGGCGGACACTGACCAGAGCCTTGCCATTCACGGGCTTGCCATACGTGTAACTAAGGGAATGATGCTGATTTAAGCATCGTAGGGCATTACTGACTTATACGTGTTACTCACTTGGCCTTCAGGACAACGTTCAATTCGCCATCTCGCACTGAAACCTTTTTGGTGGCCTCCATTTTGATCGAGTACTTGGGCAGCACATACTTTTCCACCATGAAGACGACCATTGCATCCGACAAACGCGAGTGAACGAATTCTCCAAAGGACTGCTGTTCGCCATTCTGCACCTGCAAGAACCAAGGGCCCACGGTGGCGAATTCGGAGAGCTCGAATTTTCCCGTGTACACGCCACCGGTGGTCTTGATGTGCTTCTCCTGCTTGATGAGATTCCGCTTGGGGTCCTCGAACCAAATGACCGCCTCATCCGTGGCCGTAGCCGGCAGCAAGTTCTCGTTGAGGAAGATCACACGATAGTTGACCGTATCGCCGGGCTTGTACTTGCCCTTGTCGGTCTGGATTATGATGTTCGGCTTGACGTTATACCAGCCCAGCTTGGTGGAGTTCTTGAACAGCAGGCCCTTGACACCCTCCGCCGTGAGGTTATAGTTACCCGCCGCCAGGGGAGGCAGTTTGAAGGTGATCTGCTTGTACTCATCGGATTTGGCCAACTCCACGGTCTGGGTTTCGTTATAGGAGGGCCCGGTGATGCCCACCTTCAGGGTGACCGGGTTCTTGGTCTGGTGAACGGCAACGGCCACATTGTAATCGCGATGGGAGTGGATGGTTCCGGGACCCACAACGGTATACTTACTATAACAAAGTCGTCAAAGAAAATCAAACGGTATTTATATATATATTTAACAAATTAAGGCTAACATATAATGATGACAGCTTAACATCTTGTTTACCGAGCACTGGCTGCGGTGGTTTTCGACTCTACCTTTGTTGTATAGTAATTAATACCTTTTTTGGTTGGTACTTATAGTATAAGAAACAAAGTTCATATACCCTTGCAGCTATTTCAAAAATGAATTTACTTGCGTAAATTTTTAATAGCATTATTCGATAGTTCATATGACAGCTATACGATATCGTTTTCCGATTTTAATAGAATTAAAAGCGTAATTCTGAACTCCCAAACTATTAATAAGTCATAAAGAATTTTTAAAATAATTACAAAAAGTTTCATTGAAAAAAAAATTCTAATTCTGAAATATTTAACTAGTTGCAAAAATTAAATATTCTTGAAAACATTAAAATTATCGTTTACTTGCGTAAATGTTCAAAAACATTGAAGATGTCCTTTCTTTCTTGTTTTTATTTATTTTTCCGATTGTTCCTATGGGAGCCATATGCTATAGTCGCACAATCCGGCTCGTTCTGACTTATGAACTACCTGCAATAGAAGGATAACTTTTGGGAAAGTTTCATGCAGATAGCTTTAAGACTGAGAGATTAGTTTGCCTAGAAACGGACGGACAGACGGACGGACAGACGGACGGACATGGCTAGATCGACTCTAGTTAATGTCTCCTTCACAGCGTTGCTAACTTCTGACTGAAATTACAATACCCTCTGCAAGGGTATAAAAATGAAGTGTTAAATTTCAATAAATATATTTTATTATATTGCCGCTAAGATTAATATATAAGAGCTCGATTTCGATTTTCATTTGAAACACCTTTTTCTATTCCTTATATCTAATTCGTAATAATAACAATCTTTAGACAGGATTACAAATTTAAATCGACAAAATCCTCCACTGTATAAGGATTTGTTTCCTAACATAAATGATGGAGGTCGATAAAACTTGTAAACGTTGCTAAAATTATAGATCAGCAACCTTGAATTTAACCTTAAAAATATACGGCTTAAAGCTAAAACTAATTTTAGCGATGGAAAATTAAACCATACATTTTAAGCTACAAATCTTTACAATCCGATTAACCATATAATATAGATTTACCGGCATCTTTTTTATATAATTCACATTAAGCCACAAATTTTAAGCTATGAACCTTAACAATCCTCTGGTAAATCTATTTTATATGGTTGATCTTAAAAAAGGTGATAAACGTAATTGCACTACGAATCATACCGAAACTAATATTTTCGTTGTAACATTAAACTATAAACTTCAAACTATAAAACTGAACTGTCCTCCGCAAAATCTTTTTTATTTAGTTAAACTTTAAAAATGGTAACAAACGTAATTACATTTTAGTTACACTTTTCTGTTTCAAAGGAGATGATGATGAATTTGTGAATTTGGAAACTGTTATTTAATAACCCAAACTTGAATATCGAGAAATCATGTTATCATGTTTAATCTCTAGGCAAATTGATACCAAATGGAACTCATAAATTTGAAATTATCAATTGTTTTGGCACTCAAAAATGTTCTGTAGGTTAATGCATTTTGGCTTTTTTCTTTTCTGTGGCAATCAGTTATACATAAATATGTATAAATACTTGTTTATACATGCATTCATAATAGCCCTAGAGATAACGGTAAAGTTTCATGGAACCTGATCTGCTTCAGAAAAGTTTGAAAACGGCTTAGAGATTATATAATCCAAGTTTATAACGATCAGCCATTTTCCTCGCACTTACAGTCCTCGATGACGTACAACAATGTTGTTAACTTGATCATCACTCATTCATCACTACATTTCGCACAGTCAAATTGTTTTCAGATTATTCTTACTTTTCAAAATTTTTAATTGGTTCAATAATAATCCTTTGTGATCCTTTATAATTACTGATAATTAACTACACTCTAAAAATAACTAATTTGAGATCGTGTCATAAATTAATAATATACTAATCAACAAAAGAAGTGAGGTGTTCACTTGTTTAACTGTACAATATATGTAAAATGGCTTACTGAGATATTCAATCAGCATTACAGCGTGTAAAAAAGAACACTTAATTGATTTCCATAAATTTTAAAAGTTATCTTCGTACAAAATTAGGCAAAACCAATATTACCCTGCGGAAATGATTTTAAATTTTTAAGAATTTGTTTAACAGATAAACAAATATTTGGTTTCATTTTAACTGAAATGAACTGTTCACAAAGATCAGAGAACTTTCCTGTATATCGCCAAGTGAAATCAAGATATATGCATAAGCATAACAAATTTGGAGGATTTTATGGGCTTTGGTGGGAAAGAGAGTAACAATAATCATTTTTAAAATATTGTATTTTAAATTTTTAAATCAATTAGTATTTAGTAACTTCATTGATAGTTAAACCATTTATCAATTCCTTTTAAATTAATAGCCAGTTCTTTTATACCCTACTAGTGTATGTGTGTGATTCGGCCAATCAGATCACTTAGTATACTGGGAATTGACTTACCCCTCAGCCTTTACCGGTTCCATCATCTGCAACAGGACCAAAATCGCACAAGCCGTGACAGCAAAAGCGTCTGCGCGACGCATTTTGCTAGCGTTGGTGGTCTAAGGAGGGCAGCAGGAAGGGAGGAAAATCCAAATAAAATGAAATAAAATTAGTTCTGGCCCCGAGCGTTGCGGAAGTTATGGCTAACGCGGCTGCAACCGTCGCGGCTCAGAGTCGAGCTGGAACTGGTTCGGCTGGATGCCCTACGGATTTTTATAGCTTCGAGACGAAGCCGAGTTCGACTGAATCGTGCAAGTCGGAAAAAAAGCACTGATAAAAATTAGAAGTAAATAATACTGGGAGTAAGTGTGGGTGTATACTCGATGAAGAGTTCAGCAAACAAAACCAAAACATAGGCTAGCACTTCCAAAAAATATCATTCATAATTTGGATATTGAATGAGTTAAAGCTTTGAATGGTTTGTTTCTAATGTTGGTCACTAATAATTTAAAGTTACATTTTGGAATAAAAGGAATATAAACAAGATAGAAAGCAAACTTCGGCAAGCCAAAGTTCATATACCATTGCAGCTATTGCAATAATTAAATGTTTTTGAAAACATTTAAATTATGATTTACTTGCGTTAAACATATAACATAACATTAAAGCTATGATAATTTGCATCTCAATTATTAGATGGTTATTTAATATATTTTTATTATTTCTATGGGAGCTATATGATATAGTCGTCCGATTTTGATGAAATTTAAACCGTAACTCTGAAAAATTTAGCTAAAACTATATGCCGAAGAACTAAAAAAAATTAAAAAACAGCAAAGTTATAATTTTTTTTTATTTATTTTTTCATTTGTTTCTATGTGAGCTATATGCTAAAGTCGTCCGATCCGGCTCGTTCCAAATTATATACTACCTGCAATAGAAAGACAACTTTTGGGAAAGTTTCATGCAGATAGCTTTATAACTGAGAGACTAGTTTGCACAGAAACGGACGGACGGACAGACGGACATGGCTAGATCGACTCGCCTAGTGATGCTGATCAAGAATATATATACTTTATAGGGTCGGAGATGTCTCCTTCACTGCGTTGCAAGCTTCTGACTGAAATTACAATACCCTCTGCAAGGGTATAATTATATAAAACAATTAATCTTTAAACTCCATTGATCGTTTTTTGAGCACTCCATTGACAAGTCAACTATTTATTTATTTCACCTTTTGTGTAGCCATTATGAGTAATTACCTTCCTCCAATCACCGAGCGTTTAATAAATCTCAAAGGGGCGTTCTTAAGTTCCAGCAAACCAGCGACTTACTCTTAATTGCAGCTAGTTGTTGTGATTATTATAGTGGGTATCTGGAAATAAGCTGGGTATGCACAACTAGATTGTGTTGCGCTAGAAATTTACTTCCCATTTTGTATTTAAATTATGATTTTTAAGTCGAAAGACTAATTTTAAGTGTATTCCCGGTATATCCCGGATTTTGAATGAAGACCATAGACAAGTTTTCTTTTTTGCCAAGTGTATTTTTGTAAGTGTCTTTGTGTTTACAAATAATAGTGCCGGACGAGAAGAGCAGGGACAAGATCCAATAGAGTGGTGGGATGGTTTAAGTTTCAATGGTGCAGTTCAGTAGTTGACTCCAGTATCCTCCTTGTTGGACATCTGTTTTCGAACTTTCAAGTGCTTGCCATCTGGAATACAAAATATAAAAATATAATGTATTTAAATAAATAATTGCTTGGTTACTACTCACTATTTGTCCAGTCGATAATTGATTGAGAACTGAACTGCACTGCAGGATACGGTTGATCCTCCACTCAACTTGTTTGCCATTCCGTTTAAGTGTTTAACAGGGAATTTGAAGTTTACGTTCTCGAGCCAGAAAAAAGTATCAATCGCATTTAGTTGGCAAGCTTTGAAATTTAATTCATATATTTAACATAGCAAGAAAAAGTTGCGTTAATATTATTTACTTACTGCATGGTTAACCGGGTTTTTTTGTACAATCTCCTTTTATGTCCTTTAGCAAGCATTTGTTTGTTGGGTTTTGTTTATTAAGAAAGTGTTTTTCAAAAATGTTATTTAACACTTTATGCTTAAAACTAAATTTGTCTTTTTTTGTATTGTTCAGAAGGCAATTTCCTGTGTGTTATTTCTCCGACTTGGTTGTGTATACTGAACTCTGTAGGGACTGATGGGTGTAAGTAGAACTCGAAATTAAAAGCATGGATAGTTTGATCAAGAAAAAGGGAACAAATTTGAAATTTTCAGAAAATGAAAAGCCGATTGGATCAGAATATGATGAGGACATGATAAGTCCATGTAGAATTTTCGAAGTCCTTTTATATGAAACCCATATCAATAAATACACTTAATTTGCTTTCACATAACTATAAAACAAGAAAGGGAACAGGCTTAAAATGCGATTCTGAAACTTCTTCAAACCCCATGGTATCTCCTAGTCGAGTCTACCCAACTCCCAAGGATAGCCACCTGTTGCTGCTGACTGGATGATATTGTTGTAATACTGGGCAGAGCCCCGGGGCAGTCTTTATTTTCTTGGGTTTCGCCACTTGTTTTCCCGCTCTCTGGTTGAGGCTGCCACTTAATTTATTTGTCACCGAAATTTAAACCGTAATTCTGAAATACTTAATCATTACTATATGTCGAAGAACTAAAAAAAAAAATTGAAAAACAGCTAAGTTATAATTTTTTTTTGTATTTTTTCCCCCGATTGTTCCAATGGAAGCTATATGATATAGTCGTCCGATTTTGATGAAATTTAAACCGTAATTCTGAAGTATTTAACCATTACAACATGTCGAAGAACTAATAGAAAAATTTAAAAACAGTAAAGTTATATTTATACCCTTGCAGAGGGTATTATAATTTCAGTCAGAAGTTTGCAACGCAGTGAAGGAGACATCTCCGACCCTATAAAGTATATATATTCTTGATCAGCATCACTAGTAGAGTCGATCTAGCCATGTCCGTCTGTCCGTCCGTCTGTCCGTCTGTCCGTCTGTCAGTCTGTCCGTCTGTCCGTCCGTTTATATGCAAACTAGTCTCTCAGTTTTAAAGCTATCTGCATGAAACTTTTCCAAAAGTTGTCTTTCTATTGCAGGTAGTATATAAGTCGGAACGAGCCGGATCAGACAACTATAGCATATAGCTCCCGTAGGAACAATCGGAAAAATTAATGAAAAAAAATTATAACTTTGCTGTTTTTTAATTTTTTGTCTAGTCCTCCGACACTTAGTAATGGTTAAATATTTCCGATTTACGGTTTAAATTTCATCTAAATCGGACGACTATAGCATATAGCTGCCATAGGAGCAATCGGAAAATAAATGAAAAAAATTATAACTTTTCTGTTTTTTAATTTTTTTTTTAGTCCTTCGACATTTAGTAACGGTTAAATATTTCCGATTTACGGTTTAAATTATATCAAAATCGGACGACTATAGCATATAGCTCTCATAGGAACAATCGGAAAAATAAATGAAAAAATTATAACTTTTCTGTTTTTTTATTTTTTGTTCAGTTCTTCGACATAAAGCAATGGTTACATATTTCAGAATTATGGTTTAGATTTTATCAAAATCGGACGTCTATATCATATAGCTCCCATAGAAATAATAGAAAATATATAAAATAACTATCAAATAATTGAGCTGCTAATCATCATAGCTTCAATGTTTTTAAACATATACGAAGTAAATCATAATTTTAATGTTTTCAAAAATGTTAAATTCTTGCAATAGCTGCAAGGGTATATGAACTTCGGCTTGCCGAAGTTTGCTTTCTTTCTTGTTTTTTTTGTATATGTTTTCTGATTGTTCCTATGGAAGCTTTTTGATATAGTCGTCCGATTTTAATGAAATTTAAACCGTTATTCTGAAATAGTTAACTATTACTTTATGTCGAAGAACTATAAAAAAAAATTGAAAAACTGCAAAGTTATAATTTTTTCTGTATTTTTTTTCCGATTGTTCCTATGGGAGCTATATGATGTAGTCCTCCGATTTTGATGAAATTTAAACCCTAATTCTGAAATAGTTAACCATTACTATATGTCGAAGAACTAATAGAAAAATTTAAAAACAGCAAAGTTATAATTTTTTTTGTATTTTTTCCCAATTTTATATGCTACGACTGTCCGATCCGGCTCGTTCCGACTTATATACTACCTGCAATAGAAAGACAACTTTTGGGAAAGTTTCATGCAGATAGCTTTAAAACTGAGAGACTAGTTTGCGTAGAAACGGACGGACAGACGGACATGGCTAGATCGACTCGCCTAGTGATGCTGATCAAGAATATATATACTTTATAGGGTCGGAGATGTCTCCTTCACTGCGTTGCAAACTTCTGACTAAAATTATAATACCTTCTGCAAGGGTATACAAATTATTACCTTTATAAATCAAACTCAATCTTAATATTTTTCTAATATAATGTCAAGTATAAAGTAATCTATTGTTTATGGTTAGAATTAACCGATTTATTTCAGTTAAGCCCCATTTTTTCTACAATCGATTGCCATTTTGATGGTAATTTCATGATACACCTCTCATAAAATCCTTCGTCCTTATTTGCAGAAAACTGAGCCAATCGGTTTTCACACTCCTCCCTTGTAGCTAATTTTACACTAAATCTTTCAACATTGATAGACATTGAAAGAACCTCCAATCCAAGTTCTCGGAGCCATTGATGTGGGTGGGCTAGCGTTGTCCTGATGGAAAACAATTCCTTTCCCATAGGGGAGCAGCTCATAGTAGATAATTTCTTGCCAATTTCACCAGTCACACAGCAAAAACTTTCTGGCCGTCAATCCTCGCTTAGCCATCCTTCTTCGCCTACGACCGTTTGCATCTCACGTTGTCGTAAGTGACCCATTTTTCATCACCAGTCACCATCCGCTTCAAAAACGGGTCGGTTTTGTTGCGATTCAGCAGCGATTTGTAGATCGAAATTCGGTCCAAAAGGTTTATTTTTGATAGCTCATGTAGCGCCCACATCGAGCTTTCGTACTATAAAAGCTTCTTGGTGAAAAATGAAAAACAAAAGTTTTTTATTATTTCCGATAGATTTCGGCTGCACTTCGGCAACCGTCTTCAGGGCAACTATAACAACATAAAACACATAAAGAATTAACATAAGAGTTTGACTTTACGTTAAATATTAAAAACAATTATAAGAACATACATTATTTACACGTCCGCGGCGTGGGACGTGGAGATTAATATGTACTAATTTTCTTTTAGAAGATGTCTGTAAATATGAGCGCAGCCTTCAGTGTCTGTTTTGTAGTTCAGTCTTATGTTTGTAGGTATGTTTATTGTGTGTTACATTTCAATGGTAATGTGTTTTCTCTAATGTCTTTTCTGTTCCAAAATTGATGACGGTCTTACAGTGGGCCATAAGTGCTGTTTTCTGTGTGCTGATTTGGTGCCTCAATTTAAAATCCGATTTATGTTGTGATAAACAAGCTTTAAGTTTAGATTTGGTTGTCTCTACATACTTGTATATGCTCTCACATTTGTCATTTTCGTCTCCATTGCACGGAATTTTATATATGACATTGTTGTTGTCGGACATTTGAATTTTGGATTTCGTTTTGTTGAACATTTGTCGCAGGGTGTTGTTAGTTTATGTGCTAATTTTACCTTTTCATTATTGTAAAATTCTCAATTCTTTAGTCGTTCCGATAATCTTGGTATTTAGTTACGGACATAAATTGCGTGGGCTCCGGACATTTTTGTTTTTCTTTAATGTTACTGTCACTTTTTATTTATTTTTTGGTCAAGTGATTTGGAAAGTCATTGTTTTTTAAAATCAGTCTTTTCTCTTCTTTGGTTTCTTCATGAAATATTTGGTCAGAAATGGATAGCATCCGTTGAATACAACTAACTGCTGTATTGATGATCATTGTTTTAGGGTGTCTTGAACTAAAATTAAATATTCTTCCTGTTGCGGTTGTCTTTTTATACCACTTAAGTTTTAAAATGTTTCCATGTCTGCAGACATGTGAACTATCGAGTCCAAATATGCTAGCTTTCCATTGTCCTTCTGTTCCAATGCGAATTTAAAATTGTATTAAAAGAATTTAAAGCGTTTAATGTGTTTTGTATTTCATCTTCTTTTACTACTGCGAATAAATCATAGGTTTCTGTCCTAGTTTTTTCAAAATGTTGTCTAAAAGTTCTTCCATTACTGTATATGTCTGCAATAATCGTTGATGTAGGGGATCCCATCGGCATTCTTTTAATTGTATAAATATTTAAAATTTAAAATATGTGTTGTCTTGTATGCAGAATGTCACAATGTCCATAAATGTTGTTTTCGGAATCAATTCTTTCAAATTGTGTCTAGTGCAAGATCTAATTGCTAGGAAATAGTGAGACTACATCAAACGAAATTAGTTTTTCACATTTGAACATTGTAATGCACAAATAATTCCAAAACTTGAAAAAAACTCACATTTTTATTTGGTACGAGAATCGAACCCAGGCCTTCCGCGCGGCAGTTGGACACTGTAACACTAGACTATGTTCGCACTCAAAGAATGAACGTCAAAAGTAAAGACTGTTTCGTCAGCTTGAACGAGTTAAGGTAAAAAAAATCAAAACAATTATATATTTTCAGAGATGGTTTAGAATCTGATACTATGTATATATTCAGAAATGGTTTATTTTTATGTATTAGCAATAAAAAGTTGTTATCATTTTAGATAATTTCCTTAAGTTTTTTGTCTGCCTTAACTTAGCTAAGCACATTAGGACACGTGAGTGATTTCCCTTTTTCATCAAATACAAAAAAAAAAAGAATCTCGAGATGGGTGATTCGAACTCGTGCTGCTCAGATTTACTGCACAGATTTCTGGTCAGGCAACTAAGCCGCTAGGCTACCATTAATCGGCTCAGTTAAATGCTGCTTTTCTATATTTGAGGGATACTTCTTTCTTGATCTCAAAGGCGATTTCTCCTTTAAAACCTAATGAATGACGTTGCTGAACGCCCTTTGAGCTTTCGGCAAAGTCATCCGACTGACATCGTTGACTTCGTATTTTATATTGCTCTAAAGGCAAATTCACCTTTAAAAACTAAACAGTTTTTTGTTGCTGTTGTCGTCCGAAAAAAAAACAAAATTAAGTCTTTTTCCTATTTTTAAGAAAGTTTTTTTCTTAAAAGCTTACAATCAGAAAGGATTTGCATTTTTAATTACAATTTTTTTCTTGAATCAAGAAATTTTTGTCATTGATTCAAAGAC